GTGTGTGTGTGTGTGTGTGTGTGTGTGTGTGTGCGTGTGTGTGTATGTGTGTGTGTGTGTGTGTGTAAGTGACACGCCGCGTCCTATACACACGTTTATTATACATAGTAGAGTGAAAAGGTTAAATACAAAAGTAGGTGAGGCTCTGGGGAGCCGAAGCTCCCCAGAATAGAAGTATTGGTCTATATCAGTAAGTCGCAGTGGACATCGGTAATAATGGTCGATAGAAGGGGTCGGTGGAGAAGGTCGGTAAATGAATAATCGGTAATGGTGAGGAATGCTTTTATGCCCCAGGGGACAAAGTTCGAAAGTTCAGTGAGGGTAGGGCGATTAAAGTTTGAATCAGGGACAGGGGTACTGCGTCATAGTAACGCAGTTGGTCTTTAATCTATTTTTAACAAAAAAACCATTAATCACTATTTGATATATTACGCGATAAAATCCACCAGTTTGGGAGGGAGAGCGGCGGGAGAAGAGGGACTCAGACGTAAAATAGACGGTCACCTTCTCTTGTTTCTACGCACGAGTACGTCAAAAATGTGGCAGGGAATGATTTCGGTAGTCAGGTAAGCTAAAAAACTGGAATTTCACAGGGACGTTGCCTGTCCACATAAGGCTCCAAGATCAGCTTGCGGGGTTTTTGACATCCCTTTAACTCGAGAACTGGACTAAATAGGGAGGTGGACTTTACTCAGACGTCAGCTGTCTCTGGGCGGACCCGCGAGCGTAAAATGATCGTTCACATACGTACATATGCAGGCGCGTTAAATGCACATATCAAACTGTGAAGCAGGGAACAGTTAATGATCCCGCTGTTGTACATGAACGTACAAAAGCGTGTCATTGTGTCGGCAGCGCTGTTGCACTCGGCTAATAATTCGTGATTATCTAAATTTTTTGTATTTGTAGTGTGAAAGATACCGTAGGGCTGCCGATGATTTCCCCTGCATTCGTAGGGTTGCCGATGATGACACGCGGCGTACGTATCGAATTTGGCCAGTGAAAGTTGAAACGCTAGGGCGAGAAGTTTATGCACATCCTATGGGCGCAGCTATATTTCAGTTGCTTCGGAAATCCTATGAGAGATAGTTTGGGCGGTCTCAGTGGTGCGAAGTACAAGCGATGAGAAAGTGAAGATATTGGGCCAACAAAATAGCAGCGTTACTGGTATTACAGTGAAAAAAGTTTAGGTTACAGGTAGTGAAATGTGTATTAATTGCTAGTCGTGGCTTTCTCAACGAGCAGTTTCTGGCCTATTTAATGAATTATGCGGAGAAGCAAAGCAACAAGCCGATTCTGGAAAATCGTAGCAAATTTCTGCTCGCTCATTCTAGCAGCGGTTTCAAACATGCACTAAAGGAAGTGCTGGTAGATCCGAGTGTTGCAAGTGCTCTCGCTGATACAAAAGTTGGTTTTCAATGCTTGAAACGCAAGGAATTTAATTTCGCTCAAATGTTTTCGCATTTTTTGCAGCAAACATCACCAAGCCCGACTTTGGAACGATGGTGGGTTATGATAATGTGCGGAAGTATAACCCTATATGTCTGTACCGAACAGTCTGTCTGGTTAAACATAGCGCGCATTGGACTTTCAGGGATTAATTCGGGAAATGATAATATGAAAGGGAAAGGCATAGAAACTATATTGTTTTGTCGTTTGTTTGACTTTGAGCCTTCTGCGAAGAATATGACTATGCGTGCACTCAACAAACTCGTTATTAGGATGGCCGCGAAAGTGTTCCATCGGAAGGGATGAGTATTCGGAATATTTGGAATAGCTTCTAATTTTATGCTTCCTTGGCATTTTTCCCATTTATTCCGATCAGTGATTTGTGGTATACCGCTGAGTGTTCATCCTTCTGACGATTTTGACGTTAATTTCGTCTTCTGAAGGGATCACCAGCTCAACGGTTCTTTCAGCGAAAGGGCTGGGCAATACCTTAGCCGCGGGTAAGTTCATAACTCGGAAATCTGAGATGCTAGAAGGCTGAAATCTTAGGGTAATGTTCCCCGTCCAAGTAGGTACTAGTGAGCTCAAACCCTACCCCCGGGCAAGCGTGGTACCCGCGTGCGAGCCCGCCAAATTTTTTCCGGAAGCTACCTGTAGATCACGACGAGATCTTTTGCCGTCTGGGAAGTGAAAAGAAATAGGTAATTTGATGTAACTATTTTGAGAACAGCGCGGGATTTTTATTTTTCTTATTTGTTTTTTGCGTTTATCTATTGTTCCTAGCAGTTTTTGAGTACAATATGCTGGCAAAATTGATGACATATTTACAAACTGAAGTTTGCTGATAGCAGCGCGCGCAAGCTGCCGCTGCAGTCGTGTGTTTTGCGCAGTTTTTGTTTCCCAAGCTAGAAAAACACGCAAACGAATTTTTACATGTCCACACAACAAATAAGCGTATGTGGGAAACTGGTTTAAGATGACCGCTCCGATCTGAGTAAAATTTCAGCCTTCTAGCTTCTCTGATTGCTGAGTTAAAAAAACTTAGGCAGCCGCATGAAGTTGAGCAGTAACAGGTCTGTGATGCCCTTAGATGTCCAGGGCTGCACGCGCGCTACACTGGAGGAATCAGCGGATATCCGGAACAAATTCACAGACAGGATCTCGGCAATATCTTTTTGCATCAGTCTTATAGCTCAAAGCGCACAATGGAAACCACAGCCAGGTAATCGCGGACCCGAAATAAGTAGCATCGCGATTTCCAGCAGTAATACCACGCATACGCCAGTGTTCAAGTCCAGGATACCTCGGGCGGCCAGGGTGGTTTTTTCATCAGCCTGAGATAAATCTGTGTGCTGTACCTCATAGCCGATGACTCTGAATTGCAGGCACAGGCAGAAGTGAAGGCACTGAACACATTCTACGATTTAATGGCCAATGATGCAGCACGTGCCTTCTACGGCTACAAGCATGTAGTGATGGCCAACGAACACATGGCCATCGAGACGTTGCTCCTCTCCGACTCACTCTTCCGATCCAGTGATGTTCAGATGAGGAAGAAATATGTAGAACTTGCTGACTCCGTGAAGGCCCAGGCAAGTTGCTTTTTCACTAACACTCACCACTCAAACTCCTGCACCGTTCTCGGGTTATGACGTACTTGTCTCCCGGCAAACTAAGGCCCCCAGTTGTTCAGCACAGTAGGCTTCACGTCCCTCTTACAGTCGGAAAACTAAAATCGTCACAGGGTGCTCAAGTGCGACTAAAAGATTTCAAATTTAGTTCTTCTTTTGGGTCTTTTCCACGCGCCAGTAACTTTCCATTGGTCGAATCATTGAAGCCAACATGTACAACTGACATGCCACACAGCCAGTATTAATTCTAGCTCCTCTGATTCCGTGTAATCTTGCTATAGTACGAAATGGTGCAAAAACGCATGACCGCACCGATTCGCCCGGTGTTTATTAGCCTGGATTTTGATTGTGGCTGACGTTGGTCAAAGCGAATCGAACCGTGCAACAGTGGTTTTTGCAGGGTGCAAATGTATTGATATTCTCATCGATGCACGTATCTGGCGAGCAGCTTAGCGCATTGAGCGGTGTAGCGGCGATTTTGAGATTCCCACTGCACGAACTGGATGATGAAGAGATGTCAGACAGCGACGATGATCAGGATGATCACCAGAACGACCGAAAATAATTTATTTTTGTACGAAAGACTTTTCAAGTCAAACTTCAAATAATAGACCGGAAATACAACCGAAAAAAAAAACTTCAAATGAATACATGAAATCTCTTTGTCAGCCCGAGACAGAACTGCATATGTTTTGGTCTAAATATTCTCGATACTAACAAATCTTGCAACTTTTTCAGCACTTCCCCACAAATGGCTTAGTATTCGGAAATCTCTAGGACACGGCCTTGTTAATGCACCTGGATTATCACATTCTTAATTATCCTCTAGATTGAATACGTATCCCGTGCTTCACGGGTCGCAGCGAATCCCGGTCCCAACTGCTTATACAAAATATACCGGCGGCGCTACTTAACTTCAAATCACATTTGACGCCGGTGCAGCCCCCCCTGTAAACAATATTCGAATGCGGAAGCACTAGTAAGACAAAAAGAAAAACCCATTAAGCCTGATCTGGCGCGCTGATGTTACAAAAAATATTAGAAAATGCAAAAATCCATTTAAAAGACATTAAAAAAATACTTGAAAAAGCCTCCTTCTCCAGAAGTCAGTGATCACAAGAAGATGAGAAAAGAGATAAGATTATAGAACTAATCAATCTCAGTAACCGATATACGAAAAAAAACCGGCATTATTAGGAAAAGAAACCGAAAATTTCACCGAACATTTAAAAATACAATTCCACTGACAATGTCCGCCCAGCAGCATATGAAAACATTGAAATACAAGGCGGAAGGGGCAAGAAGTTAAAAAAATATTCGAAAATTTCCTGTCCCGCATAGCTCCTCAGCTGCTTTTTTTGCAAGGAAAAGCGGCTGTGAAGCGGTTTGTCAGACTGATTGGACGGAGTGAGTGCAAATTCATGCATAAAATATCAAATAAAAAATGCCAGACATCACCACACCGAGACCTACACAACCGAAATGGTAAACGTACAATTAAAGTCGCTTAGAAGTGGATCTTCTTGGGTCGCAATGAACAATGCTTTTTGATAAAATCTTTTAAATCCGACCGCGCTAGGTTTAACTACTCAATGGATCAGGCCTCGTTGGATTTGCTATCACCAATTGATGAATAACAGCACGTTTCGTGTTTTGCTGCTGCCGTCCGGGAACGGACTACGATTAATTTGCTTAGTCCACGATCAATATGTTGCACGATGATCTAGGGTCAAGGCTGTCCAGAAAATTCAATATCCTTTCTTTCGGCCCGACAAATCAAAAAGACCCAAGTTAACAGACCGTGACCAGTTCAAATATATCAGTGTTAGTAAAGCGAAATGAAGAGGAAACGAGCATTCTGCCGGCCGAAACGTCCATTTACTTGTCGACGAGCTGCCGGCACTTCTCGAACAATTCATCCAAAACATTTTCAGTTCTCCAATTTTGAGGCTGCGAAATCTAAAAAGTAATAAGATAACTCGTCGGAACAAAAAAACAGTGGAAAAATACATGCCAAAACTTATGAAACAAAGGGGCGCTGCACGAGTTTTGACGTCTCTTTTTTCAAAGTACCAGTAAGTTAAACGCGTTCCTGGGAAAATGTCAGGGGGAGGCAATTAACTGCAGTTTCCTGGGGGCTGCCAGAAGTGAATTAAGTTCCTGTTCAATACACCAACATCAACGGGACAGACCAACTGGTGTACACCCGGGATCACCCAGCTGAACTCGATCGACACATTCAGTTCATGTAATGACTACGAATTCACAGTTCTGTGCTCAGGAATAAAACCGAACTAATACCAAATATGCCAAATACATTCTGTTCGAAAAACCGTTCAGTTGGTAATCTCTTCAGGAAACGAAACCGTAGGGGTGCGAGCAGCTGCTACCAAGCAACAGGGCATCGGTCAAAGCAACTGGAAAAGTTGTCATCTGTATAAATGGAGAACTAAACTACGGGACAGTTACAGATGTTCCAGAAATCGCACGTATGCTGGATGAATCCAACATCAAAAAATGCTTTAAAAAAACTTACATATTAAAGCAAATCTCAGCAGCTGCAAGGCGAATAAGGGGTTGCCGGAGAAAAGTCTTCCCAGGCCTGGAGAGAGAGCATCGGATCGCAGTCGTTGATCAGCGGAGAGCAAAAATCGACCAGTTCATCACAGATACTGTCATAAGAAACAGACGAATCGGCGAGCGGCAGCAAACACCCCGAATAATCAGCTGTGGACGATACGGAATGCGATGTGCACGTAGGGGACAACGAATTAGTAGCAGAAGGAGAGGGGAAATTTGCCGGAGGCGGACTTGAGGCGCAAGCAGCAAAACTCAGTGAATATTCCGAATCACAGGCAGAAGCAGCAGCAGCAACTGTAGTATTGCTTACATCAGTAACATCAAAGAACTCGGTGCACTGGACGTTTGGCGCTGCTGGTAGAGGTGCTGGCGGCGGCTGTTCCATATCTGAAGAATAATCTGCTGCTGCTGCTGCTACAGCGATATGCGATGCTGCGCGACCCAGTGGAGGCGTGCGGCGGCTTTCCTCGGATTCGGGCTCCGCGATACCCAGAGGCGTAGCAGGGCCAGCAGTTTCGTCGAGTATCTTCTCGCAAAATCGGCCGAGTTCTGGCGCCAGGTCGGCGTGCGCTGGATGCGCTCCGCAGCACTCCTCATCCAGTGGGCCGATCTCGTCCAGGATCCTCTGCAGCTCATCGCCAGACAGAAAAGCATCAACATGGTCAGCGAGCGCCTCCTCACCGCCTGGTCCCTCTGCTGGGGTCCGCGAATGGATACAGCCGATCCAACGGACGGTGAGATGACGCTCTCGGCCTCGGAGCGCGGCTCGCTTCGCAGCGCCTGCGCC